TATGTATGCTGAAGCCATTCTCTTTCCTTTGGCACAGAAAGATCAGAGTAGGCGAGAAAATGTAATGCATTCCATCATCTGATGAGACATCAACTAAGGCTTTTACTTGTAATCTTGATTTGATGTGTGAGGAGTTTCTGTGGCTACAGCTATATAACTCTAAGTGAACATATAGGAGTCAACAGTGAACCCATATGTAGTAGGATCAGTGCTGCACAGTAGTTATAGAGCTGCTTATGGCCTGGACAGCAGTTTCTTAGAGTGACATTAACTCCCCACCCTCCCTTACCTGCTTAAAACTTCAAGGTCTGGTCTATGTTTGCATCTTCTTGTAGGTAGGCAATAGTCCACAGTTAAGAGAGGTTTGACTTGCTTCACTGAGACATTTATCCTTACTGTGCAAAAGAAAGTATCTCTCAAAACCTAAATACGGAGTAATTCAGAGAAGTGATCCCTGGAGATTTCAGGGGGTACTCTGAAGATCATGAAAGGCAACTAAAAAAGTGAGACTATCATTTTAAGGCTTAAATTTCCTCCTGCTGGTTCAGTAAGATTTCCACAGGAGTTTTGCACTGGTGCAGCACTGTTGCACTGGTGCAGCACTGCAAAGATGAATGAACATACTCTTGAAACTGGCTCAATAACTGAAGCACTGGCCAACTCAGAACTGTTTTTACTTTTGAATTTACAGGAAGAGAAAAGTTCTAGCCAAAAATCTTTCTGGGAATTTTTGTTGTGGTTTCTTTTTTTAACTGACTACCAAACATCAAGCTGGCCCTGGTTGTAATTCTGATGAAACATTTGGGAACTCTATCAAAGTTCTTCAGTTTTGGTTGCAGTGATGGTTAATGGGATTTTAATCTTGTTGGCATTTGAATGAGGTAGGAAGTGGGGAAAGCCCTTAAAATGCTCAATTGGCTCTAATACCCTTAACATCTGTTGAAGTTTTTGTTCTAGTTATATATGTTCTCTGGCTGATTTCAGTGCTGCAGGAATTCTTAACGCCTCATCTTTACTCTCCCCAGCAGCTGTCACTGGGCATTGCCTCTGAGAGCTGGAGGCTCACAGAAAGGACCGAGCCAGGTGCATAAATATTATTTCATTCTTATGTACAATACATTATACTGAAAACATATTCTGCATTTTCATAACTTGGAGCAGAGATTTTGGAAAGTATCATCTGATAGATGAGTGTGTATATCTTTCAATATAGATTTTAAAATTAAGTATCATGCATGCAGATTCCATGTGTGTGGTCAACACTTTGTAAGTCCAATTGCCACGTCAACCAACTGATACCCACTCCACCCAAGAGAATTACCATCCCCATCTCATTCCATCATATTAACCTCTACTAGGACTGATGTGCAACTTGAAGACTAAGTACTGCTTTTCTTTTGTGAAAATTCTGGGGTTTAAACCAAGACTTCTGTAAGCTGATGTGATGTTTAAGGAAAAAAAATGTATTTCAAAATATTTTTTTAGGTTTTGAGGTCAATAAAGAGCAATGCAAGAAGCATTTTTTAGCCTAGTCATACGAATGTCCATTGGAATTTTCTCCTCAGCATACGCTCAGTTCATGTATTGGTTATGAGCCTGATTTAGACAATCAGCTCTGCTCTGCAATCACTTCAGAAAATGTTGCACTTGCTTTTATTAAATATAGATAGGAACCCTTATGTCTGTTATAATCAGCTGAAACAAGAGTATGCTTGAAACTGTAGGGCTCTTAGCATGAAAATTTCACCAGTCTTAGACGACAGAACCAAAGAGAACACATTTTCTTGTTTTCATGTACACCACGTAAGTAAAAGAAGTCAAGATATCTTTACTGACTTAGCATGGCATACTAGAATGGAATTGGTGAAAATAGTGGCTAATGTGTGTTATTTAACAAAGCTAGAAATTCTGCCCGGCAACTGTTCCAAATCCCAAATATAGTGTCTCTGTTTCGTAATGACCAAGGGAACATGGAACAGTAAAATAGTAATGCACTGGTTAAAACTATCCACCAAATATTGCACTTGCTCTTCACATTTGTGTATGCTTATTTCACAAGGTCCTTAATCTGAGGACCATGAAGTTTACTTTAAAGATAGGGCATTTTTAATAACATTATTGATCTATGTATGTATAGATTTTGATTGCGGAAGGGTTAACTAACTTGATGTCCTGTAAAAATAAGACAAAAAGAATAATACCAGCTTTAAATTAAAACTACCCCTCTGGGACAAGCCAAAATACTAATTGCATAGCAGTGCCTCTAGTGATCTGCTCTCCCAGGTACATGTTGCTTTTTGGGACTGAATTTCATATCTCCCTCTCCATCTTCTTTCAAGGAAAGCAAACAGGTTTGCATCCTGGCAGGGAAGGTGTGTTCATCTTTCATCTCTGCCTGAAGAGATTAAAACTTTCATCTTGTAAATCCTGGAACAATGCTTTCTACACCATCCTGGCTGCTAAGCATTGACAAAAGGCACTTCCCGGTACCCAGGGAAGAAGTCCAAGAACCTGTGCGTGGTCATGGCAAACCGTGCACCTATTCACTTTAGAAACCTCAAGAGTCACACCAGGGGTGCGTGGAAGGCTTGAGGATTGCAGTTTTGGCAATATATTGCAGAGTAGGAACTTGATAGCATTTAGGTAGTTATCACCTAGATGGTTAGCTTAGATGGAGCCCTAAGAAAACATACTTAAGAAAATATAACCCGTTGGAATATTAAATTCCCATCCTAAACTTGTCAGTAGGAATTTCAATCAACTCCATTGAAGACATAGGAGCTATTATATATCTTTGTATAATTCAGTGTTAACAAATCAGAATAAACCCTTGCATCAGATTCTGCATGTAAAAAAAGACAATCAACTGTTCATCTATCTCATCTCTCAGTTAACATCTTCATTGTACTGAGTCTACGTCTGTATTAGTAAATTTAAATGGAATGTTTCTGAGCATTGGAATTCAATTATTTACAATGTTAATTTTTCCTTGGTGTGTCTTTGGCCAGTTCCAGCTGTCCCATTCCTGGACTCATGGTGGAATTACCTTGTAAGAGGGATTAGTGCAGTTTCTGATAAAGTCCAATGTCTCTTCAAAAGGAAGAAAGTTACATTATTTAACAATTTGCCAGTCGTTCCTTGATAGCTGGTCTCTGTGCCAGACATGACAGGCATGTCTGGGTATATCTAACATACTAGGAAAGGCGCAGCCTTGCATTCCTGACTTGAATTGGTGTGTACTCAAAACACAGGCTGCTCCTTCCTTATGGGATGGTGACCAAAAACAACACGGATATTGTAGCTGTAAGGAAGGGGAGAATCTGTCCAGGTGTTTAGTTGAATTCCTCTTTCAGTTCTGCAGTTGTATCTACCTTTTCCCAAAGAGAGAACTTCAGGTGAAGCACTACTTGAAATGTAATCTTAGGAACAGAATATCAGGCTGTATACTGCCTGGCTTGTTTTCCATTTTCTCTGTCCCGAATATGTGACCCCAATGTGTCAATATTTGGAATGATTAACATGTAAATACAGCCATACCAAGTTATGTCATGCAATAGGACATTCATTCTCATTGCTGAACTGATTGTTCAATTTCTTTTTTCCCCTGAGCCTTAAGTTGTCTGGAAACAAACCATGAAGCCAAGAGGAGGTAGGATTCTGGACTCTCGACAAAGCTGTCTTGCTCAGTCTTGCCTCTGGGTCTTTTTCTTCATCATGTGGTGTGTATTTTTCCAGGTATTTTATTAATGGTTTTGTACCTTCACTGTTACTACAAAAATCTCAGCCCATGCTGTCACAGACATATGTGCCATTTGTATGCCGTTTTTGAAGATAAATCGATCAATACAGGTAAAAATAATAAACCATTTGGGGAACACAACTGCATGCAGTTAAGACACATACAGTGGGTGAAGTTGCGAATGCCCCGTCTCTGGAAATGTTCAAGGGCAAGTTGGACGGGGCTTGGAGCAACCTGGTCTGCCGGAAGGCGCTCCTGCCCAGGGCAGGGGGGTTGGAACTGGATGGTCTTTGGGGTCCCTCCCGACCTAGCCCGTCCGTCCCTCACGGCGGGGCCCCTAGCGCCGCCTGGCGGTGGCCGCGAGGCGCTCGGGCGGGTTGGGGCCGCTGGGGGCCGCTGTGGCCGCTGCCTGAGGGGACCGGCGCGGTACCTGCGGGCGGCCCCAGCCCCGAGCGCCGCCCGCTCCCGTCCACCGCCTCCCGGGGCTTGGGAAGCGCGCCCAACACGCGGTCCAGCTCCGCGTTTGCCCGTTTCGGCTGCCAAGGGAGAGGTTTATCCACACAATCAAAGTAAACAGGGAAAGTTCAACACGATCGTGTTTCAGCCCCCCCTCCCCCCTCCACGCCCCGAGGGGCTCCGCGGGCAGGGCGGCCGAGTGTGTGTGTTCTGGGGAGCGGTCTCGCAGGACCGGGCTCAGCGCTCGCCGCTTGCTTGTCACCTCTGCCGAGGGGCCGGCGGCTGCGAGAGCGGACAGGGCGCTCCCGCCGGTGGCAGTGCCTTCGTTCTCCTCCTCCTCCTCCCCCGGCCCCGCTGGGAGCGCTTCCAAGCAGCGCCGCGCCGGGAGCCCAGGAAGCCGCCTCGCCACCCGGGACCGCCCGTGCCAAGAATGGGCGAGAGAGGCGGCACGCCTGTTCACTCCTTCCACTCAGATCCGCTCCAGCCGCCTCTCCGCGGGCTTCCCGGCCGGCGCGAGCAGAAATAGCCTTCTCCGGCAGCTCGCCCCCGCCCCAACACCTCCCCTTCCCCGCCGCAGCCGGGCCCGGAGTTCCCGGTAAACAGGAGGCTTCCCCGCCCGCCCCCCGCGGGGCTGCGGCCGCGGGCCGGGGACCTGCTTGACGGGAGCTGCGCCAGGGACATCAATATTTCAGAGGCTCCTCAGCGCGTTTCTAATTAAAGGCTCGGGCGAGGCGCCCCCCCCCCCCGTCCCCATCTTCCCGCCGCCGCCCCCTCCCACTCCACACACACACTTGGGACCGTCTCCTTACGTCGGAGAGAGGCGAAAGAGTGACTGAGCCCTGCTCGGGAGAGTCGAGCAGGGGGAGGGACGGGGGGGACCGGGGCGGGAGGGGAGAGAGGGCGGGAAGGGGGGGCTTGTGCGAACAGCGACGCTCCCGAGGTTGCCAAGTGGACTTTTATTGTTTTCCACCCACTTCCAAGTCGATACTATCTGCCGTCTCATGTCCATCCTATAGCCTATATAAGCGGCTGCGCTGGGGCTGGCGGCGATGGAGTAGTTTGTGGATACAACGGGAGCGCAGGGACGGGAGGGGGGCGGGCGGGCCAGCCGCGGAATACTTGGACTCCCCACCACTCGCGGGCTGCTGCCGTCCGGGGAGCGGCTCCCCGGGGGAAGACACCTCGGCTTCTGGGACGGAGAGACAGGTAAAGCGGCCGGGGAGGGCCAGCAATCTCCTTCCCCTCCGTTCCCCTCCCCACGCCCGCACCCCTCCCGCCCCGCGGGGCCGAAGCGCTGCGTACGGCGGGGCCGGTGACAGCCCGCGGGCGGGAGCGGCCCCGCCGGACCCCGCCGGAGTTGTCGGGGCAGAGCCGCCGCGCGGAGTGCGGGGCGCTGTGTGCGCGGGGCGCTCAGCCGTCCGAAGGAGAGCGGCTCCGGGGATGCCGCTGGCCGCCGCTCCGGGCTGCTCCCCGCGGCCGCCCGCGTTCCTTCCCCCAGCCGGGAAAAGGGACAGAGAAAGGGGAGGCTGGCGCTGCCGCTCCCTGCGCCCGGACGGCTGCCCCCCAGCCGCGCACCGCCGGTCCCGCCGCTCCTGCCCGCAGCCCGGGCGCCGAGCCCCGCAGCGAGGGTGGGGACCCGCTCGGTGCGCAGCTGCCGCGACTCTCCGGCACAAACTTCGGGGAAAGTTGTGGCCCCTCGCCCGCGCTGCTCCGCTCCGTGGCCGCGGGCGGGGCGGGGAGAGGCGGGGCGGAACGCCGATCTGCTTCGCCGGGCGCGGGGCGAGGGGTCCCGCCGGGCACCCCCGCCCATCCCCGCTGCGAGGCTGTGCCCTCCCGCGGGCTCGGCTCCGGGAGGCCGTGCGGGCGCTGGGGCGGCTCTGCCCGCGGGGCGGGCGCTGCGGGCAGCGGGGGCAGCAGCGGACCCGCCGCCCTGCTCCGCCCCGCCAGCCCCCCGCCGCCAGGCGCGGGTTTGCCGGAGCGGTCTGCGCCCCTGCCTTGTGTAACCTGCGGAGTGGTCTCCACTCTCTCCTCCTGTAATATTTCCTGTTTCATCCCCCCGACTCTCCCCACCTTCGACCCACCCCCCCTATTTTCTCTTCCAGTGAAACAGGAGGCCTCTCACAGCAGCAGACCCTTCCTCTTCATCCCCTCGTGCACTCTTCAGGTCGGACTGCAATGAGTGGACTGAGGTCTCCTGGGCTGCTGGGGCTGGTACTCTTAATGCTCTCAGCAGGATATTGCAAAGAGAAAACTGACTCCACAGATTTGAAGGACAAGCAAAGTCTCTTAAATCTGATCATGGAGATCATTCAGGAACTGAAGAGGTACCACCTGGAGAAGGAAAGTGGAGTGCAGTACTTCTCCAAGCATGACTATAACTTGGATCGAAGGGAAGTGGCTGACTATGGAGGATACCAGGATGAGCAGAGAGTTGGTAAGTCACAGTCCATGACATAGGAGATCTTTTTCTCTAGAGTGCCTTAGTGAATGAGACAGCACATCAGGTTACTAATTTTATATCAAGAATTCACCACTCAAAATACTGCAGGTTCCCTTTGGTATCAGAAACAGACACAGATGGCAAATTCAGAATAGAAAACCTCCAGTCACATCTCAGAGTCTTTTACGCTCCGGATAATGTACTCAACTGAAAGTCCAACTTCCTGTGGCTTTGAACAAAACCTATTAATAAGGGAAAAGACTGAAATGAGATGAGCTCAAAGAAACAAGGGATGAAAATGCTCTTTTTCCTGGAAGGTTACCACTTATTATAATGTGATTGGTTTAAGTGTTTCTTGGAAATGACCCTAGCAAGAATTCCCCTGCAGGACTATAGTATGTCCTTAAAGACTCCACATCTAGAAGTCTTTCCTGAAGCTCAGCTTCATTGAACTTTTCGCCCTGCTTGTTCGTTCCTTTTGTACTCCAGAGGTAGCACCTTTAAAATTCTAGGGAACTGAACCAGTACTCCTCTGCCACTGTAGAGGCTGTGACCAATCTGGGAAACTCCTGCAGTCACACTTCTGTTCATTTAAATGACTCTTCTCTAACCTGCAGTGAAAGCCCAGGTTGGTTTGTAAGATGTTCAGGTTGCATGAGCAGTCCAGAACTAGTCATACCAGTCACACAGTGATGGATAGTTACTGCTCAGTTCCATGATGTTCCTCTGTGCATCCAGTTGAAAATTGATTTGGCTTCTCCTGCTGCCATGTCTAATTTACTGTTCCCTGTCACTCCCAAGCCCCTACAGCATTACTGCTGCTCATCTTACCCCTCCTACTGAAAGTGACTGAGTATTTTCCAGCAAATGCCTACTCACCTTTTCCCAATGTGGCTTTCATTTTGTTTGTGTGCTATTTATTTTGTCTTTATTGATCTCATGAAACTTCATTGTACCTTTTCTTCATTCTCATTCGTATTCAAATATTCTTGTGATTTGCATTTATTGGTGGTTGTCATGAAAATGTTGCTTCTCTATCTGGATGATTAATGAATGTACAAAGGAAGACAATTTTGTTCCACTTAAGATCATCACAGGGAGAACATTTTGTTTTATAAATGTTAAAAAGTCAAAGAGGCCAGACTAAGCAGGGAACCCTGATCTGCACAACTCTAAATCTCACCTTGGAACATGGGCATAGTTTTTGGTCACCCTACATCAGCATATTGGTGTGAAACGTCTGGCTTGTGCTGAACAGTTATCTATTTGATTAATAAACCTGCTTCAGAGCAGATTAGTTGGTAGTGTTGTTACTGACTCCTAGGCAGGATTTTTCATTCTGTTATTATAATGGAGTTATTCCCAGCAACTCTGAAAAGGAACTACTAGTTAAGAGTCTTTCATTTCAGTTTTGGCATCACTTTCCCAGTGAGTTGGTCCCATGAGAAATTTCTGAGTGAAGCATGTGTGTTTTTAATGCTCTTCATGACATAATTAGGTCAAATTGGATAAGGTCAATTTTACTTACACTGACTAAAGTTAGAAATAAATGAAGAATGACTTTCGAGAAGTGTCTAACCTTACAAGTGAATCAGATCTGGATGGAAATGCTCTCTCACTTTGTATCTGATAAGAGGTGCCAGGGGAGTGAAAAAGGCTGCTCAGGCATTTATGGTCAAATAAATAAAGCACCATGTAGTGTATCATACACAATCAGCACTAAGCTATCAGCATAGAGTTTGTAACGGAAAGCAATCAAAGATAGCTGTAAATCAGGAAGTCACAAGTGAGGGTTAGGGCTAAAATGGATTTCAGTAAACCAGTTTCATTTTGCCATCTGCTGAACAGAAAACGCAAGGCGGTAAACCACAAACACAGGGAGCCAGAAGAGAGCAATTTGCTTGGAATCATTTCCTGTGAATTTTATTTACTGCTAAAGGGGAAGGAAAAAAAGATTCCTGTAAGTAGATCAATCCAGTTCCATGATTACAGCAGAAGAGTGCTTGTACAAACATACCTGTGATAGAATAGTGGACACATTTGCATAAGAGAATTAGAAGACACAACCCCAAACTTGAGTTTATCTTTGGATCTTTACCACTAGTGTAATACACTATTTCTGAGCAACCATGAACTAAAATTTCTTGAAGAATTTAAATTTAGGTCAACTTGATAATATAATTCATAGAGAGCTAAAATCTGACTCTTAGTTAATAACCATCATCATTAATGACCACACATCTAACAGACATTGTTTCATCATCACCGTGTGTTTCATAGAGCATTTTACATAGGGGTTCCTATGTAAAACAAGTGCTTGAAATGTGGCCTACTGTATGCAAAGGGCTTTTGACCTCTGTGTACCTGTCAAGACATAGTGGTGATGTTTGCTGGACAGAATATTCCCTGTCCTCATACTATGCTTGGCAAGCAGAGTTCCAGTGCAGCAGAGTGACTATTTTTTTTTCTGTCCAACAGAAATAGTTCCCAGAGATCTGAGGATGAAAGACAAATTCTTAAAGCATTTAACAGGTATGTTTTAATTTTGCATTGGTATCCATCATTTCAAGTACATACCGTAAGCTGCACTACTCTTTCTGTGACCTGTGCTAATTCATAACTTATTATTTCTTTATATTTCAGGTCCACTCTACTTTAGCCCAAAATGTAGTAAACATTTTCATCGGCTTTATCACAATACAAGGGACTGCACCATCCCAGCATGTAAGTGACAAAATGAGAAACTTCCCTAAAACAAAAGGAAACTTAAATTTAATAGCTCTGTCAGGTACCAGTAGTGATACAATGTCAGAACTCATTCCTTGCAATGAAGAGTTTTGAGTGCTCTAAAATATACTGAGTATTCTTTACAGTATTACAGTACAGCATCAGCATTACAGAGAGGAAAATGGAAACAAAACCTTTTCACTGCAAATACATTGTGTACAATGGCTGTAAACACTGTGTCCTTAGGTACTGAAGTATATGCCTCCTGGGTTCCAAACCAAGTGTTTGCTTTTCACAAGAACATGACTCCTCTCAGAAACATCTCATATTTACTTTCTAGTGCTACAAATTCAATATAGGATCAGAAATCCAGGTGGGATTATTTCCTTTTCATTGATTATTTATCTAGAACATATTTTATAGATATTTTCTATTGTGACTATTCAGCTACCAATCTATCAGTGATGTTGACAATGAATCTTTGCAACACTTGTGTTCCGTGAATTACAAAAATATAATTTCCTAAGGCTTAGGAAAAAAAAAAGTGCTGATGGACACAAATAAGCAAATGCAGTTTATGATATCTCTTCACTGTTGGCAGCACAGAGACAATCAAATCAAACACTGACATTTATCAGTCAGTAGATGTGACTCTAGATTCATACTGAGGTGGACCTGTTGAGTAAGCAGATGCTATTTTAGTACAGCCTTTTCAGAATGGAAGCACACTTTATTTTACTTGTCTGAGGTCAACCAGTTGGGTCAGTAGCAGAGCTGGGAATAGAAACAAGAGTTACAGATTCCAAGTTTCAAGTATTAATAAATATATCAGCCCAATATACTTTAAAGGCATATTTGATAAGAATTGTGGACTTTTTTCCTGTTTGCAAGGCTTCAGATTAGGAATGCCTTGGAAAGATAGGGATTTATAGATGATAGCTAGCCAGATCACATTCTGTTTATATAGGTGGAGATATAAGTTGTTCATAACTTGTCTGTTTTGAACAAGCAAATGGTCATATTACCTTTTGCATAAGGATCACAATGCAAACATCATTTGGCTCAGCACAGCTCCAAGCTGTGAAGCTATAAAGTAATTGGTCTTAAAGTCTAAATTAGCCTTTTCCTTCTGACAAGTGACATACCCACCAATATCATGTCTGGATAATGGAGGATAATTGGTATGAATGGCAATTATAGCATAACTATGCTGTGAGTTAGAGATTGTTAACATTGCATCTCTAGGAAACATTAGATGTAGTTACTCATTAATGAAATAATGCCTAACAAAAATCAACATCAGTTACTGGACTGGACTGACTAGCATCTTTTGAAGTAACTTTCCTGTAGGAAAATGGCATAGACAGCCTACTTTAATTCTTCATGCACAGAATGATGCTACTTTTTGATAATATCCTGACTTCAAATAATACTGTTCATTCTGTGCAAAAATTCAAAGGCTAAACAACAAAGCAATTAAAAGCATCTATGAGACTGCAACATGGTGGTAGCCAGTACAAAAGAATTTTGTTGGTATACTTTCTAGTACTTTGTACACCGTAATAGCACTGACACCTGGAAAGTAATTTACTTTTCTGTCTGTCCATAACCAGCTTTCACAATACTTGCTTTCAGTTTGTCATGTTAATGAAGAAAAAACCCTTTTGATTATTTTTTTAGTTTTGCATTGGTTCTGTCCCTTATTACAAATGCATCAAAAAGAAGAAGGTACCTAAAATATGAACAACCAACAATAGGACTACTATGGAAAAAAACAGTTTTACTAGTTTTAAGATGAAACTTGATACAGTTATGAATGTTTGTGATGTGGTCACATACTTAGGCTGGACTTAACATTCCTATGACTAGATGTTATTTGTCTAATTTGAAGAAAATCTGCTGGAGAATGGCATTACTTAAGTTGATAGCCTTGTTCATTGAGGGCTGGATTTCAAAGGTGGATGAGCACAACTTACTCTTCCTCTAGTATGGAGATACTACAGTCACATGTTTAGATCCTGCATGTAAGCACAGACACAGATATATAAATTTTCATACATACAAACACTTGGAGAGCCTCCAAGCACATTCATGCTATTTGTTTACAGATGGAACATATGCAAAAGTCAGTTGCACGGTTAATGTGCCATTAGACATGGCTTTCAGTTACACAGTTTGTACACACTGCATTTCTAAGTCTAAGGAGTTGACTTTTATTCTGTTGCAAACTAAGGTATTTATTAAACTTTATTACAATACTAATTTGACACTGATATCAATGTTGATTTTTAAAGGCAAAATTGGTTACTTTGGTAATCTATTTATGCTCTTTTTTCATGACAGATTATAAAAGATGTGCCAGGCTTCTTACTCGGTTGGCAGTAAGCCCAATGTGCATGGAAGGATAAAGGTAAGCTTTTTCTTAGCAGTAATGACATTCCACTGCATAGCAAAGCAGAGGATGTTGTGCTTCATACATGAGAATTTATGGGCATATAATAACAACTGTCCTTTAGCTAAGGTATTCTCCTCTCACGCAACTTAAAGTAACTGGCTTAATCTGGCAAATTTTGGCATCAAGGAAAGGGTACCCCCTGCTGGAAGTCATTACATAAAAGTCCATGTGCATCATCTGTGAATTATTTATAGCAGCATACAGTTAGCAGATAGTGATTTGTTGTTATAGAACAAAACTCTACAGCTGTGGCTTATTTTTCAAGAGTTGACTCAGTACACAATTGCCTGTATCAGGAGCAGCAGCCACCCTTTTATGTGTGCAGCTGTACATCTATGGTGTACTCTTTAGTCTGAGTTAATATATACATAGCTATACACATGAAAGCTTTATAAACGTAGATAGGCTGCAGGTGCTTTTATAGTAATTCAATTAAAATGTATTATTAGTAGCATTGATAAACTAACTTCAAGCTACTCGGATTTCCTGGGATTTCATTGTTTTCACCTCTCATGTCTATGGGTTAATTCCCTCCTTTTTTGCCTACATGTACCTCTACTTCCCACAAATACTTGGGAAACTTCATCATGCACCAAAATAAAAAGCCAACCAACTGACCTATTTTTAGGAAACTGTCACAAAAGAATACAAAAGGACTAAGTCACATTCTGTCCTCAACCTTTACCTGAGACAAAAATATGACCTCAGACAAAGGGATAAATAATGACCATATGGACTTGTCAGTAATGAATGCTGTCAAACCAAGATATTTTAACTCTATGGTGGAGAGAATCAGTGAGAAAAAATAATAAATATTAAGCATTTTAGTGGGTTTTTTTTAAAGCATTGACACTGTTTTGCATGGCATTCTCAGAAGCAAGCTAGGGAAATGTAATCAAGATAAATGTAAAAATGACTGGAAAAAGATACACAGGTAGGTTATTAGTGTTTCACTGTCAAAACTGGAAAAATGTATTAAGCAGCGTCACACAGCTTCATTATGGGTGTGATATTGTTCAATACTTTCATTAATAACTTGAATGATAGAATACTATATTTAAGGATTAGAGTAGTGTAGGAGAAGCAACCATGATACTGTACAATCTTGAAATTAAAAATAATCTTAGAAAATAAAAGCTGAATAGTTTAAAATAAGGATGAAATTTAAAGAGCAGAATTATGAAGTCATGTAGGAGTATTCAGCTTCAGAATTACCAGAATGCCAGAATCCATGGCATTTTGTGAATTGACAGATAGTTTTGTCATAGGGGTTGTACTGGATCACAAACTAAACAAGTCAACTATGTTACACTTGAAAAAAGTCAAACAACATACTGGAATTTATAAATAAAATAATTGTTTATGAAACATCTGAAATAATCACTGTTTCTGGAATACTGTATTTAATTAAGGGCACCACACTTGAAGACACATGGGTGCTTCTTAAAAGAGTCCAAAGAAGAGCAGTGTGGATTACCAAAGGCCTAGAAAAAGTTTAGGAGAACAGTTAAAGGAATTGGGATTATTTAGTCTAAAGAAAAGATGACTGCAGGAAAACATCATGGAGCTATTCCATTTCATAAAAGGTTGCTACAAGCCATCCTCTCTATTCAGTGTGGATAAATGAGATATAATTTGTTTAACTTTGCAAATAGGTCAATATTATTACCAATAAGCAGATACATCAGAGTAGGAAATTTTTTTCTCCCTTTCTTTAGAACGTTTTATCTGTATCTTAACATCCTGTCATGTAAATATAAACTTGTAATATGAAGGAACAGGAAGTAATTCACATCTCAAGCTGGGAGTCTATTTAAAAATGTCCATCTCTCAAAAAACACCTTTGCTCAACTAGCAGGCATGTTGCAATGTCAGTAACAACTCCACTTCTGTTATTCTCCACACAGACACAAATCAGTAGTGGTAGAATTGTTAAGCAATCTCTGTTAGTAGAAAGACAGACTATTCTCTACCACATATGCTTTGAGATTCATAAATGTCTCCATAAGATTAATCATCTTTTCTCCTCAAAGCTTTTCTACTGCATCAGTTCAGTTTGTGTGAAGCAAATTAGGTTTCCTGTTTTGCTCATTATCTGATTTTCATTTCATTGGAGGCTTTTAAGTGGGCTGGGCTACAGATGGACTATTACCCTGGCAAACTGGTAGTTTTGGTGGATTTTTCAGATCTGTGGACATCTATCCATGTTTAGAGATGGAGTTAAAGGAAAAAAAAATAGACTTGTTTTTCTTTGTACACTAAATGCATTTTGGACTATCACAGCTTTAAAGCACACAAGACATTGAAACTCTGAGCTAAGATCAAACAAGAAAATAAGATGTGAAAACAGGAATTGGACATCTGTGACTGTCACAACACATACCTGAGTGGGCCCATGTGTGGGTTTGTAGTACAACATGTCTTATGGAGCCTTCACTTTTTCTCATTTACCCTACACATATGTAACTGGGCTCCATCTTCTCTTGTTTTTTAGTGTATGTTCCCATTCTGCCTGTCCCACAGATAGGAGCAATGCAGGGACCCAGTAACAGCCCAGTAACAGTTGAGATTGCATGAGTGAAACCAGAGCAACAGATCTGTATTACCACATCACTCAGTAGTCCTTTTTTTTTTTTTTCCAATTAGCAGCCCAGGCCATATTCCTTGGCTGCCACCAGCATCATTTCTGATTAATTTTATTCTGTAACCCCTTCTTGTGGTCAACACAGCTATGTTAAGTGTCCTGTCCTTGATGCTGTTTTTTGTTCTGTTCTTCAGTCAGCTTCCTAGGATTTCCCATATTCCATGGTTGCTTTGCTCCACCCTATGCAGATACATCTCACAACTGTAATGTTGTCCGTATCTGCAGTAGGTAAGAAATGTCAGGAACAAAATTCCTGAAGTCTTCACCTAAATAAAGTTCCCAATTCAGAGCTTGAGTATTTCCTGTGACAGACAGTGATGAATCTGAAAATCTGTCCCCTTTGACAGCATCTGTCACAGCCACTTTGGCTACAGTCATACAGATTTTACTGCTTTTGTTTGAAAACTGCAGGTGTTACTGTTGGTGCCCTCCCTTTTCCATTAGCTGTTCTTTCAGTGTGTGCTAGAGCCCAATACTGATCTCATAATATATGTTGAAAACCTCCTTGTACCATGAGTACTAGTTCAAAAACTAAGGACTGCATTAATCACATATTATTACATCCTTCTGTTTTGAAGATTTCTTCTAATTTCTATACGGACAAGTTTTATGGGGTTTTTTTACCTTTTTTAAAGCATCTACAGTTATTTCAAATAAACAAAGTAAAAACTAATGACAAACACTTTTGCACTAATAAATACAAGACTAGTGTAAGTAGTAGGAATCTCGGGCTAAGCAGAGAAAGTGAGGTTTTTATGCTATAAAAAGGGTATGAAAAAATCTATTAGTTGCTTCCTTCCTTAAGAAGCAGATACAAAAAATTAATATTTGTACATATGAAGGTCTGACATTCTTTATAAAATTCCTAATAAGCTAAAGCCCACTGATAACTGAAATTTCCTTTGGAACTCAGAAAAATCTGTGTAAACTCCTCAAGATGTATTGTCCATACTAGTAATGTACATGAAAAATGCTGAAAATATAAGTTAAAGTTGGAAACTTCATATACATGAAAACTAGAGTACCCCACTGAATATCCCATTCCTATACACCATTTTTCAAACTGTTCTTAAACCAAGTTAACATTTGGGTACTTAAATTTGGCTTCAAGTGTTTTGTTACAATGGAAACAACAGATTGCTTTCTCTCTTACACTGTTTCTTATTCAGAGTAACATCGAGTGCATTCAGGAAATGTAACACGCTTTCACAGAAGTTAAGATGAGGGAGTTGCGTATTATTCAGTGAAGGCAGACCCTCCTTTTCTAGAATGTACAGCTTGATCCATCACATACAGTTTCTCAGGGCATGTTCAGTCACCTCTGTGTCTGGCGCCAGGAAGTAGTTTCCAAGGTAACTAACTGAAGACTTTTATCAGAACTACTGCTTTGCATTAAATAGGCAGCCAGTGTAAGTTACTAGTGTGGCATAGTCCAACTTTATTAAGCAGCAATTTGTAGTTTTGCTTACTATGGGATGTCTGTGGCTAACACCAGATGGAACATTAAGAGCTTTATCGTCTTCAGTGCATGGATCTCTCTGATTACATCACAGACTTCCACCTGGGTGTGCACACTTCGGGAAAGAATTTTTTGATGTAAGCACATGGAAGTTCTGCTACAAAATCCTACTGGCACAGTATTTTAAGATTTGTATTGATCTTTAAACCACTAAATTCTTCTCATACAGAATAGCTTTTTCTTACAGAGGTTATCATCATGCACAGATAATAACCAGAAACAAATCTGGAAAGCTGTAATATGCCTTTACACTAGCTTTCATTTTTGCTTTTAAAAATTGGAACAATTGCATGGGTTGGTTGGTTTGGTTGGTTTGGTTGGGGGCTTTTGTGTTTATTTTTCCTTGCATTAGCAAAGGAGAACTAAAAATTGAGTTAAAGAGGGGAAAGGAATTGTTACCTATGCTCTCAACAGAAGCTGTAGTCAAATCGTGTTCAGGAACTCCACTAAGACTACTCATCACCCTTCAGCTAAATTCCAGTCTAATTTTCCTAGACTGATCCATATGATTTGAAATAAAAACTTAAAAGAAAGTACAGCAGATTTATCAATGCTAAAAATCTGAGGTCTTTTCAAGGGTCTCTGAAAATGCCAGGGGTTTAGAAAAATGTAAGTTACCTGAGCACTGGGAATCTAAGATCCAGAGCTTTTGATCAGATACCCATACAAAAGCAGGTCTGTATAAGCATCCTGTCCAGTGTTTTTTACCCTCAGTGAGCTGCATATTCCATTAGTAATGAAAAAACTATTTATTACATTTTCAGTGTTTAACTTGCCAGTTATACCACACACTGATCAAACCAAAAGCATGTTAATTTCTTTTAAACACCATAGCCTAAATAGGGTACAGGAGGACCATACATACAGAAAATAAGCTAGATGACAGTGCAAGACAAGAAAAATTTACATCAGCTTCCACTGATGGGAAAAAAAAAAGTCATTGTCCTATCTGCAAAGCCAGAGAAAACCCCTAAATTACATTAAGCTGTTCTGTAACATTATTACATTTCCTAACAGCTTTCAAAAATTGCAAAACTAAATGTTTAAATACTACTAACAAGTATTTCTGTATGCACCAATAGCTTGATTTCCAATGGATTATGTCAAGTCCAACTGACTTTGCATCCAAATGATTCTATTATGAATTATACTTAAGCAGTAGAATATGTAGAGAAACTCAGAGTATCAGAGACTTCGCACTGATCATGGGAAGGAGAGTTACCTACATTCACAGACAATATGAAAGCTTTAACTGTGAAAAATGTCATCAGCAGAACTCCAGCATCAGAGTACCACTGTTTTTTATCTCCCACAAGGACTTTTGACAGCTGTGAGACACACAAGCTTCAACTGAATCTGTTTGCATGTAAGAGCAATGTCTTTCGACTGTGTAGATTAAAAAGACATCATGCATTTTTTACTTCTAAAAAAGAACAATAACAGGCTTAGAAGGACATGAAACTAGGTGGACAGACTTGTAGCATTCAGTGGTCATCTGTCTAGAAAATCTGGTTGCAGAAAACAAACTCAGAAGTTACTGGAGAGAGGATGGACTTCTAGATATGTATACTCAGTTACACAACATTTTCTTAGAATGGTTTAAAGGTGTGGGGGAACAGGGGTCTGAAAACCTTCACTGCTCAACCTCTGAATCAACATTTCTAGAATATAGACAATATGCATACATATGCAAAGTGGAAACCTGTCATTTTGTATCAGTGATTTTGATATCAGTATCACAGAAATGGTTTTGATTTCATTCCAAGAAACTATTCTGGGAAGAGTTACTAGAACCACCAGCAAATTGAACCACTGCAGCTCCTGCTCAGTTTGTGCTGCCTCAGTGTTTGCACGTTCCAGGAGCTATACTTATATGACCAAATCTCAGAAAGTTACTTCTATTTGTTTCTTGTTTATATGATTCCAAGTTTCTTCACAAATGGGCCCAATGATACATCAAATCCTTCTGAGATCCTAGCAACAACTGACTGACACCAAGGCATCTAGACAGAGTTTTGCAATCTGTTAATGCTATTCCTGAGGTTTATTCAATTTTTGACTTCACAGCTGCAGTCACTAGAACAGGCCAGACTTAACTATGAGCACTTTTTGAAAGGTAGAACTGGATTTTCCTAATCTGTCTACCTAAAATGAAACACCACAAAAAGGGACACTTTCCAAAATTTCCACCTCGATTAACAAAGCATTAATTTAACAGTCAGGCTGATACAAACTGAGCTAAATCAGAAGTGCGCTACTGGGTCTTTGAAAAGTTATTATGGAATTCTCCAGTTTTATTTATTATTTTCAGCATGATAAACACATTTTGAAACATATCTATGTGAATATAAAAATAGCGAAAGGCAATTTTCTTCTTTCTTTTAATCCACCAGATGTTATTACCATGACAAGAAACACCAAGAACCAAGAGAAGTGCCTTGGAAACCAACAGGGAAATAGAACTTACTACCTTTTAGCAAATTCCATTGTGAACAAGAGATTTATTTTTGCAGATTGACAGACTACTTCCCATAATTCTTTTAACATGCATTTTGTATGCCATCAAGTTTGCAGATTGACATTCTTTACAGTAGCATAACTGCCAGTAGTACTTAATGCTCCGTACTTAAAAACACACTTTACAATTGATGTGTAATGCTGCCAAAAATTATGTAAACACAAATATTTTACCAAGAAAATTGATGTTCTATTGCTTAATTCTAAAATTTTAAGGAATGTTTGTTTGTATATCTAGAACTACTAAAGATCTGCTCCACGGTAGTTGTGGTCACTTGACACCCTTCGTGCTTATGCAATTTTTTTAAAAGTTTGGTTAAAACAGACTTGCATTGGGGTCACATTGTACCCTGGGAATACAAACTGCATGACAAACAGGAACGTAATTCCAAGTAGACATACTTTTTGGAACAGTGGAGCATGGATTTTGTACACAAACACAAGCTGCCATTAATTTACTTTATATAATAAATGTATAAAACATTCCAGCGAACGTGCAATATGTAAATACTGTAAATAACGAGCGTAAGTAATAAAGTGTTTGGTATTAAGTTGTTCTCAATTTGCTTTCTGTTCATTGAATCCAGGTAAACAAGCTACCCTCTGGTAGCTACTGTCATTTATCCACACTTAAACCTCTTTCCAGTAAGAGCTCACTAGTGTAAGAAGGAAAGTTATATCCACCTCAGAGAAGTTCAGTAATCTGGACACTCTCTGTGTGTCTTCCAAGCCCACAAGACTGCTCCAATTCTCCCCAGCATTATAAGATGGAAAGTTTTTTATGAATAACAGTTGTTTTAGGATTTTTTGTTTGTTTGGGGTTTGGTTTGGGAGGGGCTTTCTGTTCATGTTTGGTTTTGGGGTTTTGTTTGTTTTTGTGGGTTTTGTTATTGTTGTTGGGGTTTTTTTAATAATCTGCAGTCTATTCATGATACTGCAAGGCAATATAATCAGCAAATGTCCAGTAAATCATTTTACTATTGTAGAATTTTTAAGAAGTCAGTGAACACTTACTTGAGAAGCCTTGATACACATTTCCCTTTCTTCCTTAAATCAGATATTAAATTCAGTTGACAAAATAAAATGGCTCAAACAGGAAGAAATTTTTTATGTGCAATCTGTAGATGAACCACGTGTACTTTTAACTTATACTGGCATTTAGTTTTCTTTCTATCCTCAATTTGAACCACAAAATGTAAACCCGAAACTAACATCCCTCCACACCCTGAAAACTCTAGGATCTGAGGTTCTTGAAATGGACACTTAATAGCCTTCAGCATCCAGCTCTTTAGAAGAAAAGAGAAAATGGCAGAAGTACAAAATCCCATGCAAGAACGTGTCTGTGTTTAGCAGGAGAGAATTACGAATTTTTATTTGCTTTCAGTGCACACTAAATGTTAAAGTTTCATCTCTCAATGGATGCAATATATGGCTACAGGAAACACAGTAGTTTAAGGAATCTACTTCTACAGGATTCAATCAGCTGCTCACCTGCAGTAAACATGTCAGTGGAACTCTGTGCTTCACTGTGCTTCCACTGAACAAACAGTACCGTGCAACTGTCCCTCCTGAAGGCAATTCCAATTCTCTATTCTTGGCTTCTACAAATTTGTATATAATACCATGGTCATCTCCTTCCCCTCTTCCAGAAAAAAAACTACTAATGATAAAAATCAATCTATCACCTTACTCCTCCTAGTAGAGTTAGTGAATTATTTAGCCAACAGATTATTTGTGCTGAATATGTATCTCAAGGCTGAAACTTATAAATCTGAACTGAATTTAACACAAATAGTTTGTATCACTTTACGGGAAGATTGCTAAGCCTAGTAAAGGTAAACAACCATATCTTTTTATGTCCTTTCTGTTACCCCAGCAGCTCAAAGATAAAGATTTAAGACCTTTAAATTTTAGCTTTAATATGTAGGAAACTGTTGAATTCCTACACAGCCATGAATGGGAAAGTACAAGTCGTCATGTTCTAAATCTTGTGAATTATTTTAATTTCACTGGAATCTTTGAAATGGTCATTCAGGCAGAGAATAACATTAGATTACGCCTAAACACTTCCACCTTTGAGGTTAATGCATAAAACCACATTTAAGAGGGTTTGTCCCTAACTGCCCATCATTTTTTCCCATTTACTTTGTAAAAGCATGCATAAAAGCAAAGGACAATAATTTTTCCAGAGTCAGTGCCTAGTCGGACCTGAAATATTGTATTATTCTTTGTCCCTGAAGTGAAACAGCTATTAACTTGCAAATTTCTAGCTTGTTTTTCAGAAGTCAAAACTACTGGTAATGCAATAATGCACAAAGATTCTGATTTCTGTGTTTAAGCATTCCCTGTACCACCTGCCTCTTTGTAAGCAGGTTCTTAAGTTATAGGTGTGACTGAAATTTTAGCACAAAACAGAAACCTCCCTAACACAAAATAGCTGTTCTACAGCAAAAGTCCCAAGAAAGTTAATTCATATCGTGAAGGCTTCAACACACACAGAGTGACACCAGGATTCCAACTTCCTCAGGAGTAACAGTATCCTCTATTGAAATACATCTCTCCCCCAGAAGATAAAGTAGGTGACAAATACAGAGACTACTACTTTGGAAGGCAGGAAGAGACACAAAAAAAGGCTAAATAAATATGAAACCAAATTTTATAGATCCAGTTTTACAGACAATGTGGTAATGCTAGTCCATACCAATGCTGATACTAGTCAAAATAGGAAAAATCATCATGGTACCAGTTACATTACTGATCTCAGTGCATTTACATTTCTAAGGCAGACAAGAAAGGTGATGTTCAGACAAGCAGGTACAGATTTTTACACAGCATTTTGTCCAAGAGCAGAACTATCTACTTACTGGCCTTTGGTTTACTTTGTACTATAGTAAAGATGAACTCTGTTTGAGTTGAACTATGCTCTCAGAGAACACTTCTGACAGGCTGTCCATTCTCCTGAGTAAATCTGTAAATACTGTCTGACCCTCATGTAGGAACTGGAATTATAGCAAACTTATCATCTATTATATTGCATGAATTTGAGTATTTTACTGCTATAAGATACAAAATGTGATTTCACATTTCAGCTTTTAAGCTGATATGTTTTGTCATCAAAGTAAATGCTATGTTTCATGTACTTCTGTCAGTGTGCTACGAATCGCCCAGAAGACCAAAGGAAGACTAGAAGTCCTAATCAGTTTCTGAACTTTGTTCATCTTCAATAGTATAAAAGTGAACTGGAACAAAAATTATTTCTTCTTTGAATAACTAAGGATTTAAACTGACAGAAAAAGCTATTTTCACTGGATCCTGATGACACACAAGGAGGTTTTGCTTGCTTAAGCTTTCCAATAGTGCTAAGAGCAATGTCTGTCAGGCAGCAGTTCTTTGAGTCTAGAAGGCTTCCTGTGAAACACCTTCCATTCAAAGGCTGCCTCATGATACTGACACATCAAAGTTACACATCAACCATTAGCTCAGATTCCCACTGAAAGTTGACTGAAATTAACTCACTAAGGACACAATGACAAGACCTCAGTTTAGTTAATACAGCACATAAAGAAGCAAGATGTTACTTTTGCAGCGCTTGTGAGAAAGCACTGGAAGAGTTTACAGATAAATTAATCCTGAATTATATACTTTATTACTACACTGATGAGTGACAAAATGGTTGATCGTGTAATCCAATTAAAACGTTTCTATATTTTTTCATTAGATGACAGAAAAGCTAAAATACAAAATTCAACTGAATAAGTATTGAACACAGAGGCATAATTTTACAATTAAAATGTATCAATCAAGTAAACTTTACGTATTTCAGGAAAAGCTAATTATTTTCTTTTAGAAATTAAATGATGAAGCATTAATGAGGTTTCTCCAAAAATGCTTTACAACATCTAAGACACTGCTCGTAAACAGTTTCAAAGTCCTTTTCATTCCCCTAGAAAAGAAGAGAGGAAAAAGACTGTAAGAACAACAATACTAACTAAAAAAAAAATAAAAATTGCATACTGGTTTCTCCATTGTCATTAATGCCAAATAACAGACATGAGGAAAGAATAAAAATGGTGCAAATACATGGTGATAGTTTTTGCATATTTCTCTCTAATTTGAACTCAAGAATTTCCATAGACAAATGCTGTGACTTTGTATTCAACAGTCCCAGATGACTTTCCTTCACATATTTTCTTCACACATTTTATTTCCATTCACTTTTTTAGCCCTTATAAATTTTTTCCTTTTTTCTTTACATTCACACTAACCTGTCTAGTTGAGTTTCACAGTTTAATGAAGCACTGTGCAGAAAAAAAACCCAAAACAAAACTCTTTTTGTTTTGAATTTTATTCCCCCATAAAAACCATTTCATATTCTCTACTTTCTGGGTAATGAAGAGCAATTCCTTATTTAGTTATTCCCATTATATCAAGATTTTATAGAACCCTACTGCATCTTTATCCACTTCTGTTTGCTAAACTGAAGAATATTAATCTAATTGTTTGTTCTTGGCTTGTATTATTCAATTTCTTTGACTACCTGTGTCCATGCCTTTGTCTCTATCTTTCCTCATTACATCCTCTGCAAGGAGGCTGATCAATCAGGGCTTCACCCAGTATTGAAAATATAGGTGCACTGCATTTAAATGTAAATAAATGCAAGCATATAGACATGTTATCCTTTCCTAATCCAGTAATTTATATTGTTTCCTTGTCATAAAAAAAAAAAAAAATGTTTACACTTGGCTTTGTATAACTTTACATTATATGTCACATGTCAACTGTGGGATCTGGAAAGATTATATACTACACATCCACAATTTTTAATCAAGCCACCCAAAGAATTTCTTACACATACATAGTACGGATCTTCAATAATAAGCTGCTTCTGTGGATCGTAACTTCCAAGTAGCTCAATTTTGGCCTTGCAGTCTTTAACTTGGTTGCTTTTCCTGTTCAGATCTCTGTAAAAGAGAACATAAAATTTTCCCCTGAATTTTTCACCAGAATTTTGGCATCAACACAAGATGTTCATGACCATTTCTAGACAACACAGGAAAATAACTCATGTCTTGACTCAATCCTGTGGACCCTACGCTGCTGCTTGGTTTTGTTTCTTTCCTGTTGTGTGGAGTCTTGTTTAA